TAAAGGGATTGCAGTGGTAAAAAAAAAGGGTTTGCGTTTAACTAATTTTTTTTTGTATGATTCTCCAATAAAGGGGTGTGGCAGGGGGGGGGGGGGGCGCATCCTATGCCTAAATACGTTTGCTAATTGGTGTCCCTAGTTCCCATCAAAAAAAGTTTGGAGGTATGCCTGCGAGCTCCTGAGCAGGCTGTGTGTATCCAGAGACACACAGCACAGTTTGTTCCTGTCCCCTGGCTCTCTGCTCATGGGATTTGATTGACAGCAGCAGAAGCGAATGGCTCCTACTGCTGCTTGTGTGTCCTGTGAATGCTGGGAGAGAGGAGAGAGCTGCTAAAGATGGGCACAGAACTGGAGGAGTGAGGTACGTATTTAAGGGGGTGTGGGGGCAATACAAAAACTGGGACATTTTTTTAATGCAGGGAATACATTAAGGTAAAAAAAAAGTCCCGGATTTAGAACCACTTTAAAGCAAACAAAAGCCCATCAACACAGGCCCTATCTGTTTCTTCCGTAAGAGGTGCTTTCATTGTTGCTCCCCATCATCTATGATATAAAATAACTATTTGAAATCACACAGAAAAAAATTACAACCAGAGTAGATCACAATATTTAAACATTTTTGGTACCCAAAATAGATAATGATGTAAGAAATCCATTTTCTCGGGGCAATTATCATCAAGCGCACAATAAGGCCTTGTAATGATTATAATCGCATCAGCCACTTTATTTATTTTTTTCCATTTGTTTAATAACATGCTCTGATACAATGTCATTCAAAGAGTGACAACAGTGTCACTTCCACCCCCACAACACCCACCAGGGCAGCCATCACAATCACAGTCTTTCTGCATCCACAGAACCCAAATGGACAAAATGTCACAAGTTCAAAAGATTTTCCAAAGGTCACAACTGCTAACTGAGTCACTGGTTCTCATGGCTAAAATTTAACAATTAAAGAAGGCCTCCGTCAAGCAATACTTTTTGCTCTGTTTTCAAATAGAATACCAGCAATTCTTCTCTGAAAATTTCTTTCTCTATTTAAAGCTGAAATTCCAGAAAAACAACTAAATACACAATTCAAACACATACTGTATATGGGAACTGGTTTACCTTCCCAAGAATTTTCATGTCTGCCCATTCTGTCCTGAGATTTACACAGCTCTGCCACACATCAATGCCATGCCTGGCAGGGAAGCAGACCTGATTTTATTCTACTGCAGTTGAAGCGTATGTATGACCAAAACTGTTTAGAATTAGAGTAAGGGAGGGTTAAAAGCCTGAACAAATTATTTGCTGTCTGGGTATCATTGGATAAATTTTCCTTCACTTTGTCATAGAGGTGCAACAGGAAGCTAGAGAAAATCTAGCAAAGTAAGAGAGGTTTCCATCTTAGGCCCCTTTCACATGGGCCAGATCCTGTTTTGCTCAGCAGGGGATCCGTCTGCTGATCCACTGCTGAGCTGAATAGAGCTGCTGCATGACAGGTCCATGTCTGCTTCGCAGCACAGTGGCTAAATGGTTAGCACTTCCACCTGGCAGTAGTAGGGCACTTGGTTTGTAATCCCAACGACGGCACCACCTGCCTGGAGTTTGCATTTTCTCTTTGTGCCTGTGTGGGTTTCCTCCGGGTACTCTGGTTTCCTCCCACACTCCAAAGACATGCTGGTAGGTTAATTGGATCCTGTTTAAATTGGCCCTAGTATGCGTATGTATGAATGTCAGTTAGGGACCTTAGATTGTACGCCCCTTGAGGGTTAGGGACTGATGTGAATGTACAATATAGATGTAAAGTGCTGCTTAAATTGACGCGCGCTATATAAGTACTTGAAATAAATAATGAACTTATGTCACCCTCCTCTATGGGCAGTCCGATGTAAACGGACCTGACTTTCCGTTTACACCCGATTGCCCTCTGATCTGATCCGACCAAACAGAGGGGAATATTTGTTTTTGCTAGATTGAATCGAAGGTAGCCGAATGTAAACCGACACAAGTCCGACTGCCCATAGAGGAGATTTGAGGGTCCGGTTGGATTCGCCTGAAAAAAAGACAGGCGGACCCGGTGGACCGCCCATGTGAAAGGGGCCTAAGATAACTGTCCCTGCAACTAGAAGATTTCCCCTCATCTCTTGTTCTGGGGCAGTTATAACATTTTGGATTTCCCTTCACTTTCTTTTTTTTGTAAGAATGGTAACCAGTATAAACAGAGAGAGTGAATCTCCCCAGTAGGGACACAGAAGCCAATATAACAAATACTGACAAAGGCTCTACATCTTCCCCACTCAAAAATGTTTTGCCTAGAAATATACTTTAAGTAACACTGATAGGTCTTATCCCTCCCCCTGCCTGTGACTAGCCAGCAGGGGTGGACTGATAACTCATGGGGCCCCCGGGCAATAGGGGATCATGGGGCCCCTGTGTCCTTGCCCAAACTCAAAAAAGCCTATGAAAAAGGTACTAGGGGCATCTCATGGGCCCCCTACTGATTCCGGGCTTTCGGGCAGTGCCCGAGTTTCCAAATGGTCAGTCCGCCCCTGCTGGCCAGTGAAGGAGAAGCAGGAGACTGATCAGCTCATCTCTCTGTCACGCAAAATGAATGGCAACATAAGGCTACATTCACATTGATGATTTAGGCTGGTGTGAATTGCAGCAACAAGAATCTTCTGATTCCTGCTGTGGCTGTGAGTGGCTATGTACGGCCACCAGCCCCGTTCACTATAATGACAGGTTGGGGTGGGCCTCAGCTATTCGTGGATCTCGGCACACCCACTGATTACCTGTGGTGATCACTGCTGGACACACACAGGCCTGCAAGCGTCCAGCATTGATCACCACAGTTAATCGCTGGGTGAGCAGAGAGCTGCGAATAGCTGCAGCTGCTGGTGGCCAGTCATTATAGTGAACGAGCTGGAGACCGTACTTAAGTCGCTCACAGTCGCAGCAAGAATCAATCCGCAGAAGATACAATCCGCACTGGCCTTAATCGCTGGTGTGAACTTAGCCTAACATAGTAACACAGTAATCCATGTTAACATATGTTGTGGTATTGCACATGTTGATGCGTGTTACCACAAGGCACCGGATCGCAAAAGTGTATTTAGACCCTGAGCATGTTTAGCAATCAGTACCATAACTGGAGATTTACATTAAGCAGCACACCTGCAACCTTCTCTTTAAGGGCCAGTGCACACCAGAAAAACGCCCTCCAGATCCATTCCAAATGCGCTATTGCATACGCTTTTTTGATGTATTCTAGTGCGTTTTTATGCATTTCTGGATGCCTTCCACATGCTTTCTTTCTTCCTTTTTTGTGTCATTTCAATTGCAAATCTTAATTTTTATCAAGACAATGCTTTTCCTTTGCTTCCTTTTCTTCTTTTTTTCCCACTGTACTGGGTTACAGTGCTTTTTTATGTGTTTTTGATGCTTTTTATTGCATTCCAGTACAGTTCTGTGTAGAAAAAAAACAGCATCTTGTACTTTTTTTTCTGGAACTGAAAAGCACTGGAACACACTGAGCTGGTGTGATCCATGCCATTGGAACCCATATAACCTACTTTCCATGCTTTTTTGATGCAGAAAAAAACACAGCACTGCATGTAGTGTGAACAGGCCCTGATGCCTGGTTCACACCAATGAATTTTTTAGAGTTTTTTTTCAGAAACGCACTACAGTCCTATTTAACATGGTTTCCTAAGGGACATGTTCTCATCTATGCTTTTTTGAGCTGCTGCATTTTTGGAAAGGGCCAGGGACTTTTTAAACGCAAAAAGAATAGTTTTTGCTACAATAAAGTTCAATGGATAAGCTGCTGAAAATGCATGTAGTGCATTTGTTCTGCTATTTATTTTCTGTCCAGCAACAAAAAAATTTCCACTTTAAAAAAAAAAAAAAACCTAGAAAAAAAAACGGAAAATGTAGCAACAACATGCAATGCAAAAAGCAATATAAAATGGATCAAAATCAAACTGCATAGGTGTGAACCAAGCCTGACAGAATGATTCACATCCTTGGCCTAGGGGAAATCTCAGAATACCCCAAATCTTTCCAGGTATTAGAAAAAAAACTCTCACCTTGTGCTTGTTTCTCTGCAATTCCAACAGCTGTGCATATTGCAATTAATATGAGGAGTTTTATCCTGGAAAAAAAAAAAAAGAGAAATGTCATTATCACATTCAGTTAAACAACATAAAGTAACCTTTTAGGGACCACACTAGTTATACAGTATGCAGATGGAGGCAGCTATATTTGCTCATTACATTACAAGGGAGAGTATATGTAGCTGTGAAGGTGGGGAATGACTGACCCCGTGTACCCCTTTGCTGTCTGTGTACCACTGGAGGCTTTCTAAAGCTACAGTATACCGCAACGCAGTGGTGTGAATCGGGCACACAGGAGTCAATTTGCCTTGTTATGTGGTGGGACTGCGCTGGAATAACCGCTTAGCGCAGTCCTACTGTATCTGTTGTGAATGGACCATAACACGAATCAACACACCTACAGTGATAACGCATGTTTTTGACACATTTAATGTGTGTTAAAAAATGCACCCCAGATACTAACCATTTATTTTTTTTTTTAAAGTTCCACTGCAACAAACAGCGAACAGGCAGGCTTTTATTGCAGAAGAGACATCCACTGTCTCTTCTGCAATAAAATGTCCCTACCTGCCTGCTCACCGTCATCTCCAGCACTGTAAAAACTGAGCTGTGAATGGGCAGCTCAAGTTAAAACGCTGTGCTGGTCTCTGAGTGCCAGGATGACTGGCTCCTGCACATGCACAGGAGTGATGTCATCCCACACTGGCCAATGAAGAGGCCCAAAAACTGGTAATCAGAAGAGGATGCTGGCACTGGCAAGGGACCAGGGGACAGGTGAGTATTAATACTTTTAGTTCTGCTTTAAAGTGTTACTAAATCCCAGACCCTGCATTCCCTATATCTGGTCTCCCCGGACCCTGCATTCACTATATCTGGACCCTGCATTCACTATATCTGGTCTCCCCGGACCCTGCATTCCCTATATCTGGTCTCCCCGGACCCTGCATTCACTATATCTGGTCTCCCCGGACCCTGCATTCACTATATCTGGTCTCCCAGGACCTTGCATTCACTATATCTGGTCTCCCAGGACCCTGCATTCACTATATCTGGTCTCCCAGGACCTTGCATTCACTATATCTGGTCTCCCAGGACCCTGCATTCACTATATCTGGTCTCCCCGGACCCTGCATTCACTATATCTGGTCTCAAAGGACCTTGCATTCACTATATCTGGTCTCCCAGGACCCTGCATTCACTATATCTGGTCTCCCCGGACCCTGCATTCCCTATATCTGGTCTCCCAGGACCCTGCATTCACTATATCTGGTCTCCCAGGACCCTGCATTCCCTATATCTGGTCTCCCCGGACCCTGCATTCACTATATCTGGTCTCCCCGGACCCTGCATTCACTATATCTGGTCTCCTCAGACCCTACATTCACTATATCTGGTCTCCCCCAGTACACAGAACATGGAAATGCAATTATTGTAGTAAATATAAACTGCTAAATACCTTTTCTCATCAGAAGTTAGAGCAATCTTGTGACTTCTATCAGTGCCCAGCCTAGCACTAGCTAAAGATTGTAGGAGATATTTTCTTTCTGCTCTAGGAGGATGCAAAACCCCTAACCTCTATCTAACCAGTGTTATTGGCCCTGTGCTTATAATATGCATTCTCCCTTATTATTATAAAAAATGAATATATTTAAAAATAAAATACTATAAATAACGTAACTTTAAACAGACACAAATAAACAACAAAACCCAAACACACGCTAAAAAACAAAAAAAAAAAAAAAAAAACCTCTCTAGCAATACACACTAAACTGAGCATGTGAAAAATGCTCATGGTTCAGTCTGACTTATCAGGAGATAAGAGGTGGACACTTGAAAAAAGGAGAGGAACAGAGAAGAAAGGATCAAACAGCCTTTTTACACAATGCAGAGGATTAACCCCTTAAGTTCCACAGTGAGTATAAAAAGCATGCTTTACTTCATATACAGGCATCATGATTTTACTGTTGTGGGTTTAGTAACACTTTAAGGGGGAAAGTTATTTTTCCACCTCACTGATATTTGATAAACGCTAGGCAAAAACACTGTATATGATCTGTGAAACACTACAGGCGCATTTACACTGAGTTGCCGTAGCCTTGAACAGAAGGAGTTGACAAGCTTCAACTCCTCCCAGACTTGACTTGTTCCTCCACCTTTGGCACACACCAACACAAACCCTGTCTCCTCTCCATATTATCCGATCCTCACAACTTGGGAAAGAGGAACATCTATTAGCATAAGTATGTAGACAAAGGCCACCCTCGCCACCCCCTTAAAGGAGAATTAAACCCACAAGTACTTTTTCAACCACAACTATTCTGTTATGTTGGCTTTGGAAATTTATAAATACAGCAAAATTTAGAAATTGAATGAATGGTTTCAGCACTGGAAAACACATTTTGATAGATAAATAGTTAATTTTACATACAACTCTATAGAACAGACCAAAATGAGGGACAAATGAGGAGGAATGAAGGACAGAGGGACTTTGTTTCAAATCAGAGAAGGAATGTCACCAGCACACCAAGGATCTCCAATGTGGGTCCAAAAGCTTTAATGAATGATCACATAGTTACAGCGAAGCAAATATTTCGGAGTCTCGCAGGACCCCTTCATCAGGCATGTGACGTCACATGTCTGATGAAGTCCTCTCCGAAACGTTGCTTTGCTGTAACTATGTGATCATTCATTAAAGCTTTTGGACTCACATTGGAGATCCTTGGTGTGCTGGTGACATTCTTCTCTGATGCCTCTACTCAGTTCCAGCCAACGGTCACCGCAGCATCCATTGGTACACACAGCCACGCAGGAACGTGCGCATATTTAGTTTCAAATCAGGGACAGTCCCTCGAAACCAGGGACATTTGGAAGCTATGATTATACATTGTAGGTCACTTTGCTAGATGTTCAGGGAGCTGCAAAAATGGGCCTACCTGAACCTGCTCCTAAGGGCTGTACGCATGCCATTTGGTTGCCTATGCTTTGCTTCGCAGGGTGTGGTAACAATTGAACAGCATTTGAAACAGGCCACACCACCAATGAGCAGCTGCCTATGCATATAAGGAATATCTGTTGATAAAAACAAAATGTGCAGCTCTGACTAAAGTTGAATAATGTAAAAAAGAGCACAAATGATCTAGGGAACCCATCCAACCAATATTTGTGTATCGAGAGGTGTTTTAATCCATGGGGAGGGGGTGCAGCACACCCAGGGCATGTGTTCCATATATCCTAGTGAGTTCTCAATGCTGCAACTGCCCACCATTGTGTTTACAAGCTTGATCATTGGCCACCACTGTAGATCTTCACTTGTCAGCCAGCCAGCAGTTCATTAGTCAAGCTACACTCATCAATTGGCTCCTCCCTAGGCCAGCACCGTCCAGAGCCTTGTGGATTCTTACAGGAGAGTGGTCCATCTCTGAGGTTCTGCTAAGGAACGAATGCTGTGGAGGGGATCAGACTGGAAAGGAAGAGGAGGGGTGGAGTGCAGGATTTAGAAGAGTTGAGCCAAGAGAGGGGTTTGGGGTGTGGAGATTAGTAGGGAGGATTTGGGGTGCAGAAGTGAGCAGAAGGGGTTTTAGGGTGCAGAGGTGAGCAGAAGGGGTTTTGGGGTGCAAAGGTTAACAGGAGGGTTGAGATCCAAAGGTAAGCAGGGTGGGATTGGAGTGCAGAGGTTATCAAAGGGAATGGGGTGCAGATGGGAACAGAGGTTAGCACAGGGAGAGGGGTTGTGGTGCAGATGTTAGCAGAGAGGGGGAGTTGGGGTTCTTAGATTAGAAGAGAGGGTGGTTGGGGTGTAGATGTGTGTAGGGGGTGGGGGTGCAAAGGTGATCGTTAAAGATAAGCAGAGTGGTGGGTTTGGGATGCAGCAATGATCCGAAAGGGGTTTGGGGAACAAAGGGTAATGGAGGGGATCAGTGTGCAGAGTTCAGCAGAGAAGGGTGTTTTGGGTGTAAAGGTGAGCAGAGAAGGGCACAGGGGTACTTGGGTGCAGAGGGGGCTTGGGTTGCAAAGGTTTTGTTATTTTTATCTTTTAATGGTTTATTTATTTGTATCTTGTTGTTTTTGTCCAGGAATATATACAGTATAATCAGATAGAACAAACAAATAAATGGCAACCACCGCAACCTATAACTGGCCTTTGCAGCAAGCAGCACATGGAGGGGCGACACATGTAAAAAAAAAACAGAGAGAGCTCATTTACCATGCAGCCTACAACAAACTGAACTTTCCTGTATAACAATTCAGGTTAAAAACCAGGGGTTTAGTTTGCACACATAATGGATAGATTAAGGGCAGGTATGCCTGGAGGGAGCCCACCCCTCCTTAAAGACATAGGGACTCATTGGACAACCAGCAAAAGCACAATGGCAGTAAGGGTGTCTAGTGCGTCCCTCACCAATTAACCAACAGTACAAACAAATGGCAATCATCCCAACCTATAAATGGCCTTTGCAGCAAGGGTGACGCATGTGAAAAAACAACAAAGGTCAGTTATAGGTTGGGATGGTTGCCATTTGTTTGTACTTTTGGTGTTTTGGTGAGGGGATGCACTGGACATTTTCACTGCCATTGTGCTATTGCTGGGTGTCCTGGGCATCTGTATACTGTGCATCCATATACCATTATTATATATGTGCTCCAACTTTGGAGGCTCTCACAATTTATAGTTAGGGCTGCATTACAATAGGGTGCCGTGAAGTAGCCCTGCAGCTTACACATATATTTGCAAATGTGTGCAAACTAAACCCATGGTTTTATCGTGATCTGTTAAACAGGACAATTCGGTTTGTTGAAGGCTAGCTGGTAAGTGAACTGGAAATATTTCTTTGTTGTATTTTGACAATAATCAGATAGAAGCATACTGTCAACTTTCCAAAGTTTGCAAATCGGAAAAAAAGGTGGTGATTACATCAGTTGCCACATGCAATACCCTTGAAAAATACAGCACAAATGTTCCTTTTTTAGCCACTCTGACCAATGTGGATAAATTACTCAGCAGAAGAGAAGGAATGTCACACAGCTCCAATGAACATAAAAACACTACCGGGTTTACTTAAAGGGGTTTTCCACGTTTAGTTCAAAACAGAAATAGCCCTCTCATAGTGGTTCAATGTCAAGGTCAGCGGATGTATCACTCACACCGCTGATCAGCTGTTCTGCAGGCCTGAAAAAACTACTCACAAGCTACGCCACTTTTTTCTTCCAGTTTCAGAAACCTGCGGCTTCCAATTCAAGAGCTGGGCTGGGCCAAAAAAAGGCCAAGCAGTTCTGAGCTGTTTTATCTCACCCGCAGAGCAGCTGTTTGGTGAGGGCCCAAGACGAAACAACTCCCATTCATTGTTAGACCATCTAGATCAGTCTTTCTCAACCTTTTCAACACAGAGGAACCCTTGAATTAAATTGTTACTAAACCGAGGACCCTGCATCCACTACATCTGGTCTCCCACAGTACACAGAACATGGAAGTGCAATTATTTTTGTAAATATAAACTGCTAAATACCTTTTCTCATCAGCAGTTAGAGCAGTCTTGTGACTTCAGCAGCGCACTGGTTAAAGCTTGTAGGAGGAGTTTTCTTTCTGCTCTAGGAGGATACAAAACCCCTGACCTCTGTCTGGACAGTGCTGATTGGCCTTGTGCTGATCACATGCACTCTCTCAAGGAAAAAAAAAACTCTCTAGCAATACACACTAAACAGAGCATGTGCATGTGACTACGGGTTCAGTCTGTCTTATCAGGTGGACATTTGAACAAGAGGTGGAGCAGAGAGGACAGGATCAAACTGCCTTTTTACACAATGCAGAGGATTAACCTGTTAGGTTCCACAGTGAGTATAACAAGCATGCTTTACAGCATATATAGACTGATTTTACTGTTGTGGGTTTTGTAACACTTTAGCCTTTCCGGACTCAAAGAACCCCTGCTAAAAATTACTATTTCTACAACACATGATACATTAGTGTGAATGTCAGTAGGAAGAATGCTCCTTACATTGGTGGTCATTGGGAAGAATTACCACCTTACCGATAGCTAAAAAGATCATTGGTGTCAGTGGAAACCTATCTCAGAGGTAGGATTGCTCATTGTGCAAGGAACCCCTAGCAACCTCTGGAGGAACCCTAGGACTCCATGGAACCCTGGTTGAGAAACCCTGTTCTAATGAAAGTGAAAACCCTGTAAATGAGGGAGCTATAATGATGTGTAAAGTGCTGTAATCCATAAGATTTTACTGATGATCTGTCTAACACGTGCAGACAGCTGTATTCTGTACAAGGTTGGTGCAATGTGTTGTTACAATGCACCTTCTTTTCCCCTTTTTTTTTTACTTTACTGAAATGTTAGAAATTACATATCTTTCAACGGTATGACACACAGTTCATGGCAATGCGGTATACTGCGTCACAACATGCTGCACAAAAATGCATCTTGTCTTACTTTTTTCCAGCACACACCAACGCAACATATTGGGGTGGATTTACTAAAGGCAAATAGACTGTGCACTTTGCAAGTGCAGTTGCACTTATTTTTCCCAAAGCTTAGTAAATGTATTGAAGCTCTGCTGATTTCCATCAGCCAATCAAGTGCAAGCAAAAATGTTGATTTTTATTTTCCTTGCATCTGATTGTGTATTCTTTACAAGTTGAAGCTTTATCACATTTACTAAGCTCATGGGGAAAAGTAGAGCAACTGCACTTGCAAAGTGCACAGTCTATTTGCCTTTAATAAATACACCCCACTGATGTGAAATTAAACTATAGAACATAAGGCATATTGCCTTGTCTATGCCTTGATACTGTGTTGGGAAACACCACCCAACACATATGGTGTGAATGGATCTTTATGATTTGCATACCACTTGAGCTGTCTATACCAGTGGTGGGCAACCTTTTTTTTCAACTGAGCCAAATCTCGCCAAAACCACGATTGAAATTTATTTTGAGAGCCACATTTTTAAAACTGAAAATACATCTCCCATATAGTAATTCATCCCCCATAGTAATTCATCCCCCATATAGTAATTCATCCCCCATATAGTAATTCATCCCCCATAGAGTAATTCATCCCCCATATAGTAATTCATCCCCCATAGTAATTCATCCCCCATATAGCAATTCATCCCCCATATAGCAATTCATCCCCCATAGCAATTCATCCCCCATATAGTAATTCATCCCCCATAGTAATTCATCCCCCATATAGTAATTCATCCCCCATATAGTAATTCATCCCCCATATATAGTAATTCATCCCCCATAGTAATTCATCCCCCATATTAATTCATCCCCCATAGTAATTCATCCCCCATAGTAATTCATCCCCCCATAGTAATTCATCCCCCCATAGTAATTCATCCCCCCATAGTAATTCATCCCCCATATAGTAATTCATCACCCCATAGTAATTCATCCCCCATAGTAATTCATCCCCCATATAGTAATTCATCCCCCATAGTAATTCATCCCCCATATAGTAATTCATCTCCCATATAGTAATTCATCCCCCATATAGTAAGTCCCCCATATAGTAATTCCCCCATATAGTAAGTCCCCCATATAGTAAGTCCCCCCCATATAGTAAGTCCCCCCCCATATAGTAATTCATCCCCCATATAGTAAGTCCCCCCCCATATAGTAAGTCCCCCCCATATAGTAGTCCCCCATATAGTAATTCATCCCCCATATAGTAAGTCCCCCCTGTGTCAATTCACTTACCTTTGCTCCGCGCGTTCCTCTCGTCGTGCTTCCCGCGCCGTTCTGGTCTTCAGGGCGGACTGTGAGAGGAGAGGAGTTCGTCACGCTACCCGCCTACATCCTGGCTGCCCCACCTACATCCTGACAGCTGCAGAGTCCTGACTTTTGGGGCGGCCGCCCGAGAGGAGGGAGGGGAGCGGGCGGCCGTCCGAGAGGAGGGAGGGGAGGGGAGGGGAGGGGAGGTGAGGGGAGGTGAGGGGCGGCCACCCGGCACACGCCCGTCCGAGAGGAGGGAGGGGAGGGAGGGGGAGAGGGAGGGGGGCGCCCGGCACACAGAAGAGCCGCATTTAAGCTTGTAAAGAGCCGCATGTGGCTCGCGAGCCGCGGCTTGCCGACCACTGGTCTATACCATTAGATTTATTGATAATTTTTCCATGATTTTTCACCAAAGGTAACTTCGTTTTATATAGTCTTTGTCAAATACCAATTTGGATTGTTACGTGTTGCTGCAGAATCACTTTACCAAAAGCTTTTTTTTTGGAAACAATTACGCATGGGATGAATGTGGTACAGAAATCCAATGAATTACATACTGCTAGGGTCTTTAAAGCCCAACTGCAGGAAACTTGAAAATTCCCTCTTGCAGTGGGCTTGCGTCTGCACTGTAAGGGTTAACTGATTGTTTAAGTCTGGAGGGCATATAAAAGAAGATTTATGTACAGAATTCTCCAGTGGTGCTAGACTGGTCCCGCAACATCTTCTCCCCCATATTCCAGCAGTCTAAGGTCCTGAAGTCATAGAAACCCATGCAGAGCACAGGATCGGGTAGGAAAAAATTATTTTGCTCTCTCTTAGAAGTGTGCCTGCACTGTAAGGGAGAATTTTCAGATTTCCAGGCGTTGGGCTTGAAAGACCCTAGCTGTGAATAATTTATTAGTTTTCTGTACAACCTTCATCCAAACTCAGAAATTCAGGGCTGAAGCTGAACCATGCTTGCTGCGTATGCCACTTATTTCACAAACTGTTCTGCTGGATGTTTGGCTTCTCCTAAGTACAAATGCACTAACAAACCCACCATACCTCGGGCTGTTTGGTCAATCTCACTCCAAATACTTGACATTCCTTTTGTCATAGGAATACTATATGTATAGTATTACCAGCTGGCCTTGAACATACAAGGTTTGTGGGACCTGAATTTGCTGTCTGCTCCACACCTGGTAGAGACACTTTGTATGCAGACAGAGATGTGTGGAAAATCTTACGAGTGATCCTACTGATGGCCACCAACTGTGGTACGAAGACCCAAAACATTGTTACTGAAGAAGATAAAAGATAAAGTGACTTTCTAGACATCTCTGTCTAGAATTGACCATAAACTATAGTTGACAACCAACTAAAATAAAGGTTAAATTTGAATTTTCATAATGTAAGGTGGCTTCTGCCTATGGCAAGATTTGCCGGGCTTTATACACTTTACTAAGCTAAAGGGAATGTGTAGTTATGTAGTGACTACCGGGTGGAAGGGGGTTTAGGCATCTGACACTACCAGAAGTGTAACAAAAATGTTACACAGCCACACTAGCTGCTGACAAGACCTGTGCAGATAATTACACTAGAAAAACCCTGAAGAAGGGGTTGTTTTTGAACCCCCAAAACATGTATCTACGTTTTTTGATTTACCCTGGCATAACTGGAAAAAAGTTGTATCTGGACCTTTTAGCAGTGGTGTGATGCTTCAACTCACAATTTTTGTTACATTACTCTAAAAGTCAAGGAAATGCTGGAGATCCTCTGGGGTGTAGAAACCGCTGGTCTCGGAATCACATCACCTACATCAATATCATTACATTAGGATAGGATAGCAATACTAAAGGTTCATGTACACTGCAGCTGACAAACTCACATTCAGGAGCTTTTCTGCGTTTTTTTCAGCAGCCCCTGAACTCTCCCTAATGTTTTCCTATGTGTCCATGTACACTATGTCGCTTACAGTCATCTACAGGCAGTTGAGTTTACAGTAGTTTTTTTGAACGCACCAAACGTGCGTACAGGAGTAGATTTTATCAGCGTTTCCAACGCCAAACACTTGTAAACGTGGCTAATCGCATTTAGAAGAGTTCGCATTTAGAAGCATTTTTTTTAACTGTTTCATATCCAAATGCTGTCCAGAGCCTTTTTTCATCATCAGAAATGCATGCAAAGCATTTTCCATGTATTCCAATGGACCCGGTACACCAGCGCAGTCAGTTCCAGGTTTTGCGTGAAGGAAAAAATGGTAGAATGTGCTGCATTATGCTCATGATGGGATCCATAGTGAATACAACCAGAAAAGACAGGTAATCTCAACAAATACTGATCTCTCTGTTCTGCTCTCTCTATTTCTCTAAAAATGTCTGAAATAGTGAATTTTTTACTGTTTTTCAGTGCATTCTGGACATTTTGGAAGGTCTCCTGAGGTTATCTTAAAAAAATGCTTCTAAATGCAAACGCTCATAAACGTGCATAAACGCGGTATGCAAACACAGCTAAACAGACATTTTTTAACCTACGTTTACCAGCAGTCAGTTTCCATCGTTCAGTAGTGTTTTACAAACGCCCCATGTACATGGCGCCTAATAGGATAACCTTGCAGATCCTCCACTTTCCTTAACTCCCAGAAGTGTGTCAGAAACTAAAGCCTCATACACGCGATGAGAATATCGGACTAATGATCGTCCTGGTTTTTTTGGCATGCTAGTCTCA